CTACTTTGGGTATATGCCCAAAAGTGGTATTGCAAGGTTTTGAGGTAGGTTGATCCCCAATTTTCTGGGAAATCACCATACTGATTTCCATAGTGACATAGTGATTTGCACTCCCACTAGCAATGGAGGAGTGTTTCCCTTTTCCACATCTTCTCCAGCATAAGCTGTCATTGGTGTTTTTGATCTTAGTCATTCTGAACCGTGTAAGATAGAATCTGAGTGGTTTTGATTTGCATTTCCCTGATGACTAAGGATGATGAGCATTTCATTAAGTGTTTTTCTGCCATTTGAGATTGTTCTGTTGAGAATTGTGTATTTAGATCTGTACCCCATTTTTTAATTAGATTGTTTGGTAGTTTGATTTCTAATTTCTTTGAGTTCTTTGTATATTTTGGAGATCAGCCCTCTGTCAGATGTGTTGTTGGTAAAGATCTTTTCCCATTCTATAGGGAGCTGGTAAAAATGCATTTTAAAAATTATTTTTATGTACATTCGTGTTTTGTCTGCATGTATGTCTGCGTGAGGGTGTTGGATTTGCTGGAACTGGAGTTACAGGCTTGTGAACTGCCATGTGGGTGCTGAGAACTGAACCTGTGTCTTCTGAAAGAGCAGCCAGTACTCTTAACCACTGAGCAGTCTCTCTAGCCCCCCAAAATAATTCATTTTAAAAAACTGGGTCTCACAATATTGCTATAGCTAGCCTGGAATTCACTAGACCAAGCTTGCCTCAAACTCAGAAATCTATCTGCTTCTGTCTCCCAATGCTGGGATTAGAGGCATGTGCCACCATGCTTAGCTGTTAGATTTGTGTATTTCCTTTTAGAAATGATAAAATGGAAAATAAGTTCAATTACTTTTTTTTTATTTGGGATGAGAGTATGTCTGTATGATCATGTGGAAGTCTGTATGCAAAGCATCCAAAAGAGGGTGTCAAATTCCCCCAGAGCTCAAGTTACAGGGGGGCTGTGGGAACCTGACTTGGGTCCTCTGCAAGAGCAAGAGCTCTTAACTACTCCGGTTTCTCTCCAACCTCCCCACACTGTTTTTCAATGAAATAATCTTTAATTGGCCACTTTTTCTAACCTATAAGATGATATGATTCATTGGTATAGATTATATTTGTGGTGTATATGGTATAATTATATACATATGTGTATATATAATATATTCAACTTATACATTTGAGAAATATTTGAGTAAATGTTAAATTGAAGGTAAAAATGCATCTGGAAGACACACAAGGCTATAGGAGTTTTGGGTTGTCAGTATTTGGCATAGGAGAAGATGAAGTGGGCCTTGAGAAAATAACTATCAAGGGGAGAAAGAATTGGGTAACAGCAAACCAAAAGAGTGAGACCATTTAAAAAAATTTTTTTATTCTTTCACAGTTCCTACATGTATGCAATGCATTTTGATCAGGAACATTCCTACCTTCTCTTCTCCCAGCCCCTCTAGAAAACTCTCCAGCAACCCCTTCCTACTTTCAGGTCTTTAAAAAAATACAAAACCACCGAGTTTAATTAGGGTTGCCTGCCCATGCATGGGTGAGGGGTTGTTTACTGGTGATTTACTAATGGTGACATTATTGAAAAAGATTCACTCCCTACCCCAATAGGCAGTAACTGGAAGTAGCCGTTCAGCTAGGAGTTGTGCCTCATGTGCTCCTCCATCCATGCCAGAATATTGACAAGCTTCATCTTGAGTGATATGCAGTTCCTATAGTTAATTCATGGTTAATTCATGAATGCAACAGCCATGTCATGTCTAGAAGGCAGCTTTTCAAGGCAATTCTCCCTATTCTCTAGTTTTTAAATTCTTCCTGCTTTCTTATCCATGATGTTCTCTAAGCAGTGGTGGTGGGGAGTGATACTGATGTCCTTTTCAATGCTAAGTACTTGATGGCCCCTTATTCTCAGTCCTTTGACTATGAATTTCTGCATTCACCTTTGCTCATGGCAAAAAGAAACATCACCAATAGGTGGGTATATACATATTTACAAGGCAATGTGGAAACATACCCATTCAGCAAAGCAATAGAAGTTCCTTCTTAACTTTATACCTTCCCAGATAAGGGCTTTTGATCAGATTTACAGTACCAGACACGAATTCCTATTTGTAGAGCATGCCTGATGTCCAACCAGAAATGGGTTGGTAACATTCATGCCATTATTGCACCAGTGGGCACATCTATGTGCCAGGCCACTATTGTAGAATTCAGGTCCACTCTAGGCTAAGACCAAAGATAACTTTTGTCTCCCAACAGCCCAAATCATATTTTCCAACACTACAAAAGCTACCCAGTCTCCAGGTCAGTCCCAGTTAGATATCTCTGTCCTGTAATGAAAGGGTGTATGTTCTACAATACTGTCCTACCATCTAGTTCAGGTGGACAGCCAAGAGCAATTGCAGTGGCATGTATTTTCTGGGTTTCCAAGCCCTCCTTGACCAGTAACTCATAGGGAAATATCCCATACCTAGCACTGGGATTTGCTGAAGAACCCATGGGTATGGAGACAGGATTATCCACCATGCAAGTATCTCTGTTCAAACTCCATTTTAGAAAACCAATATATTTTAAAATTAGCTTACAAATAAATTAACTTAGAAATAAAAAAGGCTTTCCATAAATCTTAGTTTTGGTTAGCTGTCTCCTTACCCCTTCCTAACATTTCCATTCCCATACCCTTTTCCACTTAGATTTTTTGCCTTAATTATTTCTCCTCCACACACAACTCCACCCCTGCACTTTAAGCCTTTCCATCCCTGGCACTCCTTCTTTACATGTGTCCTGCAGGATAGGATTTTTTTACCCTCAACTTTTCCTCACTATCCTTTTAATTAGGAAAATGGTCATTTTTTAAAATAATAATTAACCTTGTGTACGATGTGTGTATATGATTTCCATGGTACATGTGGAGCTCAGAGGACACTTTTGTTTCCTTTCACCTTCATATAGATTCCAGCGATCAAACTTGGATCATCCATTTGTATGGCAAGAGCTTTACCTATGAAACCATCTCATGGGCCCAAAATGGTTCCTCAACAAGAGAAGCAAACTTCTTTGGTTTCAAAATTAATATCCAAATATCTTTGCATAAAATGACATGCCATTTTATATAGGCAACATGTTCCTTGCCTATCAGTTCATATCACCATTGTCAACTATCTCAGGCAGTCAACAGATGATGCTGCACCTACACCCACTGTTCTTCACTCTCATTTGGTATCGATTCCTAATTATTTGATTTTGGGAGAGACAATGGAAACACATACCCTCTCACTCAGCAAGGTGGCCTGGAATTCCATTCGTAAACTGAACTGGTTTCAAACTCAGAGATCTGGCTGCCTCTGTCTCCCTAAGGGATTAAAGGCTTGCTGGGATTAAAGTCAAGTGCCACCAACACCTGGATAATTTCTAAATTACCTTTTGCTATCTCAGTCACACACTTGGAGCCAATGTGCTGTAGTTGAGTTACATTTTAAACCATTTCTAGTCCTTCATTGATGTTTGAAGGAGCTTTAGAAAGCCCAGTTCAGCTCAAACCTCTCAACATTTCCACATTTTATGTCCTTTGTGTTTACTGCAATTTTCTGTGGATGAGCAGTCTAGACCCACCCAAGAGAAAGTGGGGCCATAGCTACTAGATAATTTTCTAACTTCTATATGGAGATATCTTAAAAATGAAAGATCTAAGGCTAAATGTAGGTAAGCGTGCAAAGAGATAAAATTTACTTCTTATCCTGGCTCTGCCCCTCCCCAAAACACCTTGAATAAATCAGTCCTTTGAAGTTTATTATATCACAGTTAAAGATAATCACACAGGACATTCAAGGAACATTCAGCACCCCCCCCCCTGTATACTATTCTGGGACCTGGAGATACAACTGAGATAGGGCTGGAGAGTTGGCTCAGCGGTTAAGAGCCCGGGTTGCTCTGCTAGAGGACCGGGATTCAATCCCCAGCACCCACGAGACAGCTCACAAGTTGTCTGTAACTCCAGTTCCAGGGGATCCTCACAATGACATATATGCAGGCAAACAACAATGCACATAAAAATAACATAAAATAAATGTAAAAGACAATAAGATAAATGTTAGTTGGAAAAAGATATATAGTAAATATAGGATGTACAATTTTAAATGAGCAGCTACGAATGACTTACTGAGCTACTTTGGGCCTCAAAAGATTATGTGATCATTAGGATGAGATTGCTTGCTGAGTGACTGGTGTAAAACGAGACTCAATAATATTAACATTCTTATGAAGTATGTCTGAAATCATTAGGAGTTGGCTGGGTTTCTGCCCCGCCCCTCCCACTCCTGCCTTTTAGGGTGAAGGAGCACTTGTTGAGTGTTCTCACTGACTCGTCCCAGAGCTTGAATGAGTCCTTAAATCTCAGTTTGCTTATGCCAGTTGAAGCATCACTTTCCAGCTCTTCACTGTCTATTACACTCACATCCTGAGCAATGTCAGCAAACGATGCCTTGTGAAGTCAGAGTGTAGTCCGAGATCCATTACTCAAGTGCTGTTTGTCTTTGGCTAGTCACGTCTCTGGGTCTCATTTTTCATCACAAAGTTAAAATGCCATACTAAGCCGAGTTTCAGGCTTACCCCGGGTTGGTTCTCACACATAACCCAATCCTAGCAGCTGGTGCTCCTAGTCCAAAATCTCCTCAGAAGCCTAGTCTACATAGCCGCTAGCGGGAACAGCGCTAGATGAGATTAGGGTAAACCGGAACTCCCAAACTACACTGCAAACACCTGATCTTTGCAGAATACCCTCCCTCTGGGCATGGCCTGGCCTTCTTGGATCTCCTTCCGGGTCATACGCCAACATGGAAATCATCCCCCATGCATCTCCTTCTTAGAACCCATTGGCTCCGTCATTGAGGAAGTGGAAGGTTTTAGGGCATTGATTGGTGTCTGCCATTGTGACGCGATAAGCTACAAACAAGGCGTGCCTGGTCGTCATGGCAACGCCCTGTGCGCAGCTGGGATAGGTCGACGTCTCATTCCCGTCTTCCGTCCCATGGAGAGTGGTTGTGTCTTAGGGGCGCGGCGGTGGAGGCGCTGAGCTTGGGATTCCCGAGCTGACGTGGCTGAGGTCGAGCGGGGGGCGGCCGGCTTCGCCGGTGGCTGTCACCCCCAGGTGAGTGGGGTGGGCGGGCTCCGCGGGGAGCTCCGCAGCGGCCGGGCCGCGGCCTGCT